GGGTGTGAAGAGAGAAAGGAAAAAAAAGAGAGTGGGCTGACAGAGAGTGGGAGCATGAGTGAGGCCAGGAAGGCAAGTTAATTAGCTGATATTGTATACACTGTGGGCTGATCTGAAGCATTAGTGACAGTGATCTACACATTAACTAATTCTTCATATCATAGACATCTATTCAACAATAACAATTCCATTACAAAAAAAGTGTTAAAAAAAAATCTCATTACTTTATATTTCATGGAAAAAAAAGAACCAGTGAATAAATACCTTAATAATATTCCTTTTCTCTCCCACATCCTGCCCAAATGTCCATCAAGACGCACAAAATGCTTCTTAAGGCAGTAGGATTAATAAAAAGACACTGTGACAGATACATATATAGTGCATTTCAGACCTTGACTGACACTCATTTACCATGATAAGTGATTCTTAAAAGCGCGTATGCTCACACACGTGAGCTGCAAAGCCCTCATACAACAGGGGGTCTGCACAGGTTTAATCAAGCTGTCTGATTAGACGTGTGCACGGAGAAGCACCTTTCTGTCTCATACCAAAACACTCCAAGGTCATATGCAAATGCTGCTACTATTTCTTACAGTCTTAACTTCTTTCAAGTGGTAATGTAAGTGATCCGTAGTTTTTTTTTATCCTTGGAGCTAAGAGGTCATTGCTGTTCTGTTTTCGCTCTGCAATTCTGAGAGATCAGCAGCAAGAGAATTAATGTGTTTTTATTTTAAACATTTACTGCTATGTTCAAGGTTATTAAGAATGAATGGAACCATTTCTGATACAGCAGTAGGACTGTTATACATTATTAGAGCATGATGGGAGCCCTTATGGCGGTAGAATGTTGCACATCTTCACACCCACCCCCCTACTAACGTACATTGAGCAAACTCTAGCAGATGGAGCACTAAAAAAATAAAAAATAAAGTCCAGATGCGCTACGAGCGAGGTTGCAGTGACAACCTTTCGTCAGCCTTGTTTCTAGTTGGAAGATACACCTCGTCCTTTGAGGATATCCTTATGAAAAGGGTGCTGTGGATCATATATGTATATACTTATATGATACACATATTATATTTTGTATATCTCTCATTGTACATGCTGATCTTCGCGTTGCTTCCAGTTAGGTTTATTCTTCTTCATCGAGATAAGAATTTACATACAGGTTCAACACTACTTTCAATACTGTATTGTTATGGTGTTGTGTACAGTTAATGAGTGTGAACTTCTGTATGTGTTCTTGGTACATCTTTGTCCGTGTTCTCAGTACTACTTAAGTGCCATTCGATCGGTTTTCGCTTTCCTTTCCACAGCTCAAACAGACTTCCTTATGACTCTTACTGGATGCTCTTGGCATCCTTAAAGCACCTTGAAACCTTGTTTGTTTTGCATTACCAGTCACATGGCACAGTGAAATGCAGGGTGGGAAATTATATTTTTAAAATATGAACATCTGCCATCCACTGACAGATAAGTGTTCAAATTCTAAGTCTACTAGCCACTTTCACATTTTAGCAGCATTTGGCTGGTGGCTGCTGCTAATTTCCCACCCTGATGTACAGGCTGTGCATGTGCATTGATACATTGATTAACATGTGTACACAATGCTAACATGCAGATGTTTAGCAGGTATAATGTTTACCATGTTCATCATCTTAACTAACTAACATTTACAAATCAGCACACATGAATGTTACTAGTGTTACAGGTATTTGGTCAAACTTTTGACCTGATGGTGATACTAGATGAAAACGGAACAGTAGGGAAGTCTAGCTAATTATAATTTAAAGCCACTGGAACTCCTGCGTAACCAAAATGCTTAAAAATTCTGTGGATTTTAAAATAATTTTTTTATGGGTGATATCTTAAGCCGCTAAAGGGGGCATTCAGTTGCTGTTTACTACCAATATGATTAAACCATTCATTGTTTAATATGCAGTAAGTGGTTAATTATGTGGAAAACAATTTAGATCATTTCCAACACACAAGCTTACACAGTGGTTTTATAGTTGATTTAATTCTGACACCGCTTTAAAACAGGAAACCGTAACTGTCATCATGGTGAGTTCAGATATATTTATATCTTGATCACTGAAGTCACAGCAAACCAAAGCTGTGCAGAAGCCTTTAGAGCAAACATGCCCTGCATAATTATTTCACTCACACACCTGTTTGTGTCCTTGGGGATAAGTGAAAGCAAAAAAGGTATTTTCTACTGCTCAGAGACAGCTCCTTAATGAAGGTCTTCCTAGGCAACAATCTAGGTTACCGACTGCATTTGTTAATCAGTGCAAAGCAGATGAAGACGAGATTCTGAGCTGGTTGGACAGGAGTTTCAGGAAACAAAAATGTCAAAATGTATTCAGTCATTATCCTTCTCTACTAAAGGCTTCAAAGATACAAAGTTTAAAGCTAAAAATGTCACTCTGGTGTCAATCCTTCTTGCACTGTCTCCAATCTTCTAAAGTTGTTATTTTTAACATCTATATGGAACTATTTTACACACTCTCTCAGCATTGTCCCACGTTGGTTGAAACGGCCGTGCTAGCACTGACGTGGCTTGCTCAAGGGCACTTTAATTTCAATAGATGAAAAACAAAAAGGGGGAGGTTTTCATTTACTTTCCCTGGTTGTAGCTGCTGAGCTGCCAACCAACACACTGTGCTATCCAAGCCCTGGAGGTTGCCCAGTGGTCCAATTGCCAGGCCGAAGGACTTTTAGCCATATTTGTCTCTTTACCATCCAATAAACGCCTTTTGTTTGAGTGGCTGCCAGAGCCTTTGCTGAGATATTCCCATTAGTAGGGCTGGACCACAATACGGCTGATTATCCCATCCTTATTAAAGCTGCAGGGATGCCAGCAGTGGAGCAAACTGTATTTACAGCACCAGAGATGCTCTTTTGTTCTCCCAATAAAAGGGAAGATACAGGAATGCTGGCTAATGATGGCACAGATGACCATCTTGGCCCTAATTTGTAGTTAGCAGGCAGCACGAGGCATCACTCTCTCCCTCAGACAGCCACCCTTTTACTCCCATCTCCCACTACATGGTGTACCTGCAGAAACATCAAAGATAGCAGGAATTAGCCTGTCCCTTTGAAGGTGAACAATGCTACAGTGATGGTAATTCTCTAACCTCCATCTCCTTTTCTTTAAAGTGAAAGAAACTTCAAATGAACATATCGCTATCTGTCAAGTGTTGCCTTATTTTTTCTCCTAAACAACTGAAGAAAACCCACAGTAAAGTAGAGGATTATTGCACGGTCCTACATATGACATCCATAAAGCTATGACTGATGATCATTGAATGCTTTAATAGCACACTGAAAATCAGACAGACAAGATAGATAGATAGCCCCTGTTATCTTTTCCCACTGTGGGTTACAAAAGCTAAAGCTAAGTCTCACATGTCTGAAACGGTTTTTGCACATCAGATGTTTTGCCACAGGCATGGCACCAAATCAATTCTATTTCTGACGAGACAGCTGTCTCTGGTCTTATTAGTGCAAGACAGACTAGAAGTGAATAGAACTGCCTTTAAGAGAAGATATGCAAATGAATACCTGTTGCGCCAACAAATTACTGTCAAAACAAATCTGCCCTCAGTGACAATAACATGGCAGGGATGACTTTCACTTACATCTCTGATTCATTTAATTAGCTGGTTACTGTGCATGACAACGCTTCTGACAAAGAGAAGTTCACACTTAATTGTTAATGTGATTAATGCGATCAAAACAAAACAAAAAGAGTTAAAATCGAAACAAGAAAAGCATCACAGGATTGATTTTTGGGGCATGCGAGCTGTGTGATTTTTTCTTTGACCCTGCGTTTGTTCAGTCTATCAGTATATCAGAGTGTATACACAGTGGTTGCACACGCTGTTTGTCCACAGCACGCTACATCTGTGGAAAACGGCCACTGTGTACTCAGATTGATACTATACACACTGCAGGGGAAGAGCATGACACAGAAAACAAACAATCTGTTGCTTCAAATCTCAGCACTTCTCTGTTCAGTCATTTGTTTTATTTTTGACTTTGACATGAGAATACAACTGAGTGGAGTGTGACTGGTTTGCTTCATTTGTTCTCGCAAAACCTCACAGTACACATCATTAAAGGGTGGCTATACTGCTTCTAAATATGTAAATTCTAGCGTCGTGCATTTCTCAGCCTGTAAGTGGTATCAAGAAACTTGGAGCTCTCACATTTTTTTGTTGAAAATCCCATCATACTCAACAAAAAAACAAAAACAACACACTCCAGAGCTCTGACTTACTGTGTCTCATTCCGCCTACTT